TTTTTGTGTGAATATTTAATTATTTTAGCGCAACATGCCAAATATAGATCAGGCGACTAGTTATTTAAGAATCGAGAAGTTCTTTACGCAACTACATTTCAAAAGTGTCACCACCGATCGTACATCGAAGCTTACTAGCCGCATATGGAACACAAATTTTAAGTATAATATTGGCCCGTCGCTTCAACTGAAATTGACATGTGTAATAACCTTCTTTGTAATATTAGTTTATTTGTTCAGTTGACTACTTCTTCTTTTACGAGTGCAAAATAAATTCCATGTACGCAAAAATCAGTTCGACTGAAAATAAAAATTTACTTCAAATTAAAGTAGCCGCTTCAATGACAGGAGCGAATCAATGACCCTTTGCATTTTTGGCCATTTTCGGCTAACGGGTAGCCCAATTGAGACCCTCTTGGTAAGAAGGTACGTTTGAATTAATATGCAAGTTATTGTCAAGTTCAGAAAGAGAAGTTCTACTCAGTTGGAGTGGTATTTGCATTTGAAAATTTTTAAAGCGTGATTATCTGTAAAAAATTGCCTTGTAAAAGGCTAGTTTCGAATTTTTTGTGCGAGATAGTCTGGTAACTAATTATCAGCACCAAGCCGAGGCCGAGGGAAATATGCGCTTATTTTGAAAGCGAGATCGGAGTGACTGTAAGTCGAATGTGAAGTTTTGTGCCATCCCTGTGCGCAAAAATAACTCATAACAAGGCCGGACCTCAACTTTTTCTAGTTTCCAGGCGAAGAGGGACTAAGAAAGAAATGGAGTGCCTTCGGTCGTCGCGCTGATAAGGAGTTCACGTCCATAAAGAACTTGCATGTATGCTCCAAACACTACGAGACTAAACAAATCCTGAAGACACTTTCTGGAATTAAAAGGCCAGCACGTGGCACGGTTCCAACAATATTTAATCAGCATACAGTCCGAAGAAGTCCAAATCAACGCGAAAAAGGTCGAATGAGGGGAGAAAACAAGACGCTAGCGATGACAACATAAACGAACTTGCCGCCAAAATTTTCCGCGTTTCTACTGATATTTCTCTGAAAGACCACGACTACGTCCTTAAGGAAAAAAAATTTCAAAGTGCCTGGGTCTTCTTCGCTGACTTTTCGAAAGGCTTTGATCTAATTGATCATAACATCTTAATGACTGAGTTGCGAAAACTAGAGGTTGATCCCGCGCTCATCAGTTGGATTGCTGCGTAACAGACAGACAGCAGGCTGTAAGAATAGGGTCAGCATTATCAGATTGGAAATTCCTCAAGGGAAGTGTGCCTCAGGAAACTAAACTAGGAGTGATACTTTTCACACTAATGACAAACAATCCTTTAGCTGATTGGCACCCGAGAGTCAAGTTTGTGGATGACACGTCTGTCATAGAAATGCTACCCAGGAACTCTATCAGTCTGCTCAATTCGACCGTATCTGACATTCACAATTTTTCTATGGATCAAAACATGAGACTAAATCCTATTAAATGTAAAGAGATGTTAATTAACTCTATGTTATATCCTAACTTTACTCTCATACCATTACTTGTAGGCAACAACGATACAGAACGTGTATCGACTTAAAAAATTTTAGGATTATTTTTCGATAACGACCTTAGGTGGAATAGTCATGTTGACTACGTATATAAAAAAAGCTTTCGAGAGGTTCTACTCCCTACGTATTCTACGTCAAGCCGGCGTTGATCATGGTAGCATGTTAAAGGCCTCTACAAGCTCTGTTTCTAGAGTACGCCGTGCCTGTGTGGCAATCCATTCCAGGTTATCTGTCAGCAAAATTGAATCCATACGGAAAAGGGCGCTTAAGATAATTTTCCCGTGTGCTGATAGCTACTCAGATGCCCTCGAGTTAGTACGGGGGTGGAGACCCTTGCGTGTAGAAGAGATAAGATATGTGTAAAGAGTATATGTGCAAAATTAAGGACTTTAACCAGCCTCTTCATCCTCCTCCACTAACACGCTTAGACGATACCTGTCCCTACTCCCTAAGGCACAAATCAGACCATGTGTACTTTTACAAAACGTTACTACCTGCAGAACGAAGCGCACCGAAGACTTTTTCACTTTTAAGTATTTTTAACAAATGTGATGCATGTTCTGGTGTGGTGTATATAATTTGTACTTAATGCATACAGAAATGTACATAGTTGATCTTATTAAGTTTTCATTGTACTATAACTCGCTAATTGAGTAAGTTACTGCACGGGAGTTTAATAAACTTATTATTATTATTATTATTATTAATATTATTATTATTATTACATAAGAGCTTACATCAGAGCTAAGGATTCTGGTTTCTATCCCATATTTACGGATCAAATGTTTCAGCTACTTGAGAATTAGGTATTTGTATTGCAACTTCAAAGGTAAAACCCCATATGCTGTGACCCAATTAAATCCACAGTCTAATGAACACTCCATAATCGATTGAGCCTTAATGTCTAAACATGAACTCTCTTAGCTGCTTTTCTCTAGAGGATGATTTACACATGGTGCATACTTTCAGCAGCAGTTGACATAAGGATATGAGTGAGTTCTTTATTAAATGTACGTGAAATCGTCATTGACATGAAATGTGCCAAACCAAGCCCTAGGCGCGTCTTCAATGTCCCATAAATTACCTTACAATGTAGGCCACTAACCAACTTGAAGGAGTTACTTTTTTTTCCCTCTTAATATTTGATTTTACCCTGGGTAGGAGGCCGTTTTTTTAGGGATTGCGTTGCAAAAAGGAATGGCGTCGAATGCTTGAAATGCTTGAAGATTACGATCAGATTGTATAAGTTAGCATATGCCGAGTCGTCACGAGTGATGTTAGTAAAAGGGAAATGGAAATGTTAAGGGGGAGAAGTATAATGGATACTGACACTGACTCTCTGTTTCTTTGATGGATAACATTTATTTTTTCTCGATCTTTTATTCACATTTAGGAATATAAGCAGCTGGCAATTTGCTCCTGTTGCTGCACATCTTTATCAATGAATACCACTAATTCCTATTTATTGATATGTATTATGTCATGTAAATTATTTCTATGATCATTTTGTGTTACTAGCCTAAATAGCGTAGGATACAACGAAGATGGAAATAAAATGAAATATTCTCATCGGAGCACGTCGTGTTTTTAAAATTCCTGTTTCCAGGTGTGCTTCACATTTGTGGTTTAGTTCGATATTGCTTTCCAATATAAGAGCGGTTGATTTCTGTAACCCTATATTCTGTTGGCTGGTTTTATGTGTCTTGTTTTTTGAATGTTGGTTCGCTTTTTAGTCCATTTTTGTTTCCTTTCGTCAATGTAATCCCAAAAAAAGCCGCCACCTACCCAGGGTGAAATCAAATATTAAGAGGGCAAAAAATAAACAAGTAACTCCTTCAAGTTGATTAGTGGCCTACATTGTAAAGTAATATGTGGGACATAGAAGACGCGTCTACGGCATGGCTTGGCACATTTCATGTCATTGAGGATTCAACATACATCTAATAAAGAACTCAATTCATATCCTTGTGCAAACTGCTGCTGAAAGTATGCACTATGTGAAAATCATCCTCTAGAGAAGGGTAACTACGAGAGTTCCAAGCAGAATGGCTTTATAGAGGCCGAAGTGGCCCATGATCAGTAACTTTTTATGCTAATTTCAAATCAGAAACCAAATTTTACTCGACGAAAAACAGCCAATTATTATGACTTGTGAGCTTCTAGTTCGCTGGTTTAATTTATAAACTATAAATTAATAGTGACCATATGTTAGGACTGAATAAATTTAAAACGATCTCGAACTCGCATCGAGGTCTCAAAACTCTACATAGTGTTACGGAATGGTTATTTGTTATGTTTCTGGGATGGTTTGATCAGCGGAAAGTCTAGCTAGCTTCTTTGATGGCAAATAAGAAAATATGGTTTCGAAAAACATATGGTGACATCTGATGTTCCAATTAACTTCCTGTCTTATCATTTAGTGAAATATTTATTATTTTAATGGAAGTCACTTTTAGATTGTTGGTAAGAAGGTAAGTCTGAATTAATATGCAAATTATTGTAAAATTTTACTCTACAAAAAACAGCCAATTATTAGGACTTGTGAGCTTTTAGCTCTCTGCATGGTGTAATGAATAAACTATAAATTAATGCTGACCATATTTTAGGAGTGTATGAATTTAACGGTCTCGAACATCGAAATGCTAGCTAAATCGAGGTCTCAACACACCGCATAGTGTCACGGAATGGTTATTTGTTATGTTTCTGGGATGGTTTGATCAGCGGAAGATCTAGCTAGCTTGTCCGATGGCAAAAAAAAAAAATGATTTCGAAAAACATATGGTCACATCTGGGCAGAACGATGTTCTAATTTACTTCCTGTCTTCTCATTTAGTGAAATATTTATTTACTTTATTGGAAGATACTTTTACACTGTTGGTAAGAAGGTAAGTTTGAATCAATATGCAAATTATCTTCGAATTCAGAAAAGTAAGTACTTAGTTGGAGTGGTATTTGCATTTGAAAATTTTAAATGCGTGTTAATCTGTAAAAGCTGCGTTGTAATTAACATATATACAAATACATTATTGTTTTTTCTCTTTATTCGCCACGCAACAGCTCCATTTAACAACTGCGTCAAAGCAGACAAAGATATGGTTCTGTTTTTCTTTCGCTCTTTTCAATATATACGGTAACTTGATTAAAAAAATCGAGAGAGAGAGAGAGAAAAAAAACCCTTGAGAAAATGAAAACTTAAGAGCGACGGTTTTAATTTGTTCCGTCATAAAGCTAGCATTATAATGTTCGAGATCGTTTTCAATTCATACTCTCCTAACATATGTTCACCATGAATTTATAGCTTATCAATTACACCATGCCCCGAGCTAAAAGCTAAGAAGTCATAATGATTGGTTGTTTTTTGAAGAGTCAAATTTGGTTTCTGAATTTAAATTATCATAAAAAGTTACTAATCACTACCACATGTGCAAAATTTACCTACGTACAAATGACTAATGTCTATGCGTTGGGTTCACCAACAGTTAAACGGAGAAAAGACGAGTATTGCTATGAGTTCGTTGCACTACCAGTCGTTTCTTTTCTTGTGCTTCTATGCTGCCGTTCAGGCTCCATACAGAGAAGGCGATATCATGTTGGGCGGACTTTTCAGCGTGCACCAGCCGCCAGACAAGCCAGGGAGCCAATGTGGAGAGACAAATTTGAGAGAACTTGGTCGCATGCAGGCCATGATCTTCGCAATCGAACGAATAAACAATGACACAAGTCTTCTTTCTAACATTTCCCTTGGATATGACGTAAGGGATTACTGTGGAAACCTTTCAAAAGCTGCAAGACTTGTTTACAAACTTTTGACTATTGATACTTGTGTCAATTTAAGCCAAAATGCCACAAGAAAGAAAGCCATTATTTCTTTAATAGGCCCAAGCGAATCGAGCACTGCGCTATTTATTGCAGGATTTCTTCGGATGCTCAATGTTTCGAGCATTAGCGGATCAGCGACTAGTGCAGAACTTAGCTCCCTTACCTATGATCATTTATTTCGAACAGTGCCTTCGGATACTTTTCTTGCAAAAGCGATGGTTGACTTGGTTACACACTTCAATTGGAGTTATGTTGCTGTCGTTGGACTTGATGATTCGTATGGACGAAATGGAGTATGGGCAATAGTTAGCGAAAGTACTTCAAGAAAAAGCACTTTCTGTATTGCTTTGACGGAGTTTATACGGATCGAAAGTCTGACTCTGAGTATTTCGAACATTGTTCGAAAGCTTAAACAGATGGGTAATATCAGAGTTGTGATCTTATGGCTATACAAAAATTACCAAACAAAGTTTTTGGCAGAGGTTCAGAGGCAAAACCTAACTGGACGTGTGTGGATTTTGAGCGAGGTTCACTTAACTTCTACACTGCCAGTAGAAGGTATTCTCGACAGCTCTTTGGGATTTCTATTCCATGAATTCAGCGACTCTGGTTTCAAGAAATATTTAAAAGATATATTGGTCAGGGAGAGAGACAGTAAAAGTTTTCCTGAATGGAATTACAGTACAAGCGAAATACGGAAGCTTTTGAAGAGCAAGAAGTGTGTTCATCGCCAAATTGAGCAATGCACTAAAGACTTGATTGAAGAAATCTACAGCTCCTATGTTCCAAACATCATCGACGCAGTATATACCGTGGCACATGCACTACATATTTTCAATAAAAATTTTAGCTATAACGAGACCAAAGATCGGGCGAAATTGCAGGTAGCCAATAGTTTTGACGTGCAGAAGCTTCTTGGCAAAGTCAGTTTTCACGGACTAACTGGAAAAATCAACTTCGATCGATTTGGTGACAGGGGCTCGGCCTATTATGACATTTTCAGGTTTAAAAAAGTACCCAATGGAGATGTCGAGAGCATAGAAATGGTGATGATAGGAGAATGGAAAAATTCAAAGAGAAACAAAACTCGCTTGATTTTTCATGAAGCCCTGAATTGGACGACTACATCTGGTCGCCCTCCCAAATCTGAATGCTCGGAACAATGTCCTCCCGGAACAAGGAAATCTTTTACCTCTCCTTGTTGTTGGCAGTGCCTTCCGTGTCTTGGTGGAACCATCAGCTCATCCGCTGGTTCTGAAAGCTGCAGTGAATGCCCCATCGGAACAATGTCTAACCAGGCTAAGACAGAATGTGTCGCTTTACCTTCTGCGAACATAAGTTATAGTAGTGCGAGTGGAATTGTAATTCTTACCTTTGCTACGCTCGGTGTAGTTGCTACATTACTTTGTCTGGCAGCCCTCTATAAATTCTGGAATAGTCCCATTGTAAAGGCTTCCAATCGAGAAGTAAGCCTTATTCTTTTACTCGCAATTCTGTCTTTATTGTCTTTGGCATTCATAAATGTCTTTATATCCACCAATGCAATTTGCAAGATCATATACCCGTTACGTTATCTGACCTATAACTTCTGTCTCTCCATCTTATTGGTTAAGGTGTTGCTTATTTCCAGTGCTTTTCAGGTTCCCATTTCGACCAGTTTGGAATTCACTTCTCTCTCAAACAAAGCACAAGTTGGGATTGTTATAGCATCTCTAGCTCCACTGTTGTTGGTATTGATGCCATGGTTGCTTTTGAATCCACCCTTTAACAAGCAACATATCTATCCGAAACGTTACACCTTTAACGAATGCAAGGCATACTCTAGCTCAGTTGGAAAATCTCTATTCTTAGCAACATGTTTTTATATTTTCTTCCAAATGCTTTTGTCCACGTTCTGTGCCTTTAAGATTAGGAAGATTCCTGAAAATTTCGGCGAGGCCAAACGAATCGCCTTTTCCATGTACATATTTTTGTTCTCATTGCTTTGTTATCACCCGGTAGAATTGTCCATGGTTGGATGGTATGTAACGGTTGTGGATTGTGTAACAACTCTGTTGAGCGCCTATGGTTTCCTTTGTTGTCTATTTTTGCCCAAAATGTATATTCTGTTCTTTAGGCAGGAGATAAACGATGTGAATGGCATCAGACAAGAAGTCACTCAGTTCTCGTTTAGATCAAGTACGCGTACGTACGTACGCGGAAACCGTGCTTTTGATAGTACTAAGATTAGTAATTTTGACAGTACTTAAGATTAGCAAATTTGTTTGAGTGTGCCATAGACCTCTAAGGAAATGAAATGTGAATCCCTTATTGAAGAAAATTTATGCCTTTAATTAGCACTGCATCACAATTAAAGGCTTCAAGGTATGAAAACAAGTAATATTGTGATGGATTGTTTCTTTTCACGTTTCCAGGATGGCTTAATTCTCTTCTACTGACTTCGCCATTAACCATTGCTAAGCCTTCGCCGTCCAAATAGGACACATTACAATTAACAATACTGGAAACTAGTCTACATTGCTTTAATTTTGGCTAAACCGGGTAAATTTTTTTATATCAGCATAATTTGTGGCTTGGAGGAAAAAGCATTTGTGACCTAAAGCAAAAGCCTCATCTTCTTTCTTTATTTCCGCAACATTTGCTTCTTGTGTGGCTAATTAGGGAACATTTTACCACCGCAATGATGTTTCCAAGTTTAGCCAGGCCTTTGGGCAGATGCTTCGATAATTAAACTGCATGAAGATGAGAATGATGTTAGCTGTTATGAACACTACTTAAGCAGTAACGCCAACAAAAAATTAAAAGAACAAAAAACAAAAATAAGGAAGAAGACTTACTGCGCATGAATTGGGAAGGAGATGAACGATGCGCCCAGCATCAGACAAGAAGTCACTCAGTTCTCGTTTAGTTCATTCAAATTGTATACGTAAAGTCGCGTAAACCCAGTTTTGATAGTTCTAATAAGGAAGCTGGGTCGTAAAATAAGCTTTCTTAAAATCATTGTGTTATTTTGAGTGTGTCAGAGACTTTTACATGTACGTAAATAAAAAATAGATCTATGATTGAGGAAAATTTATGTTATTAACTGACACTTTATTGAAACAATATTTATAACTCGACTTTTGCATAGGCAGTAACGATTAAAATCATCAGGAAATACTGCTATGGATCGTTCCTTGTTATGTGTGCAGGATTGTTTATTTTGTAGGAGGGTTTCCTTCCCGATGGCTAAGCAAGGAAACCTTGCGGATGAGTGGCCACGTGTGCACTGAATAATAGAGTGACCCTCTGTATTTTTTATTTGCATTTTTAATCTTCCTTTTTTTCCCTCTCCTATTTTGGGACCTATCAGAGTCTCCTCGATTTCGACTTTGCCGCTGGCCATTGTTGACGGTCCCAGTTCTTAGGACGCATTGAGGAGCTGCGATGGAAACTAGTCAACACTTATTTCGTAGTGGCAAAGCCGCTAAAAATAGTTTTAGAAAGCATCATCTGCATCATGTGAGGAAGAAAGCATTGTCTTTTTTCTTAGCCGCTAAACCTGTCTCTGCAATAAATGTTTCTGGTCTGGCTAACTAAAAAACATTTGCTTCTGTTTCCTTCTTTAATCAGGCTTTCGGGCAGATGCGTAGATAAGTAAACTGTATGAGCCACAAGGGGGGATATTGTTCATCTCTCCCCAGTGGAAGGGGACTTTGAAGTAGTTTGGTTGCGTCACTATAAAATTTACCTGATCTCTCCACAAGGTTCTACGTTATTCGAGAGGTCCTTGCTCTTTCACCGTGAATTTCATGTTTCTTTAGTCCTCACTTAATATTCTTTTGGGGACTTCTGATGCGCGCTCCGTTCCTCAAAAATCCTATGCGTCATATCATAGTGATTTACAAGGCATTCATACAACGGTGTTCTTGAGAAGTTGCATTTACAAATTGAGATGAATTTAAAGCGAGCCTCAAGATACCTGATATAATTAAGAGAACATTCTAGAGTAGAGTTTTCATTGTCTAGGAAGGAAGATCTGGCTCAGCAGAGTTAATTTGGCTAACAGCTTTCGGAAAGTTGTCCAGACAACTCCACGGCACATATTTCGCTACACGAGGGAAGGTCACTAGATGATCAAGGATACACACTTGCCCTTGAATCGGTTTTCTGGTTTTTAAAGATAAAAGATACGGGTATGGAACATCTGTCGCTTACATTAGAGCTACTGATTCTGTTTTCCATCCCATAGTTATGTACCAAATATTTCAGCTTCATCAAAATTAGGTATTTGTATGCAACTTCAAAAGTAAAACCCCTCATGTTGTTAAGGACTTTAATACTTGATTTTACACCGGGTAAGTGGCGGCTTTTTCGGGATTCCGTTGCAAAAAGAAATGGTATCGAATGCTTGAAATCTTTGAAGTTACGATCAAATGCTATAAGTTAGTCGATGCCGAGTCATCACGTGTGATCTTAGTAAAAGGGAAATGGATTTGTTAAGGCGAGAGGTATGATGGATACTGACACTGACTCTCTGTTTGTTTGATGGATAACATATATTTTTCTTGATCTTTTATTTACATTTAGGCTTATCAGCAGCTGGCAATAAAAAGGATTGCCGCTGTTGCTGCACTTCGTTATCAATGAATACTACTAATTCTTATTTATTGATATGTATTATATCATGTAAGTTATTTCTATGATCATTTTGTATTACCAGCCTAAATAACGTAGGATACAACGAAGATTAAAGTGAACTGAAATATTCTCATCGGAGCATGTCGTGTTTTTAAAATTCCTGTTTCCAGGTGTGCTTCAGGTTTGTGGTTTAGTTCGATATTGCTTTTAAACATAAGATCAATTTATTCCTGTAACCCTATATTCTGCTTGGTGGTTTTATGTCTTGTTTTTGAATGTTGGTTCGCTTTTTAGTCCATTTTTGTCTCGTTTTGTTTTGTGTTGTTTTGTTTATGGACGAAATGGAATATGGGCAGTAGTTAACAAGACTACGTCAAGAAAAGATTCATACTGTATTGCTATGACGGACCTTACACTCCGTGGAAGTCTGAACCGCAGCATTTGGAAAGTGGTTATAAAACCAAAGGAGATGCACAAAATCAAAGTTGTGATGTTGTGGTGCTACGCGCATTACCAAACGAAGGTTTTTTCGAAGAGGTACACAGGCAAAACCTAACTGTCTGGGAGTGTGTGTGTGCGTGTGCGTGCGTGCGTGCGGTTGTAAATTACTTAAGTATTGATCGGCGAATAATGGCAAACAGCTGTTAAAATAAAGTTTACAGGAAATAGCTTGGGATTTTAGTAAATCACGAATAAGTAATGTCAATCCTGGTTTAACGTAGTCTAGGCGTGTATTTCCGTTATAATAGCAGATTAATAGAATCGCTATCCTGTAACAGAAGACTTGAGAGTTGAGATCGTTTGAATGTAGGAAGTTCGGATATTGGATGGATCGTAAAATAAACGCAAGAAATCGGAAAGATATGTCGAGCCAGCGCTCCGCATAGATTTTCCTTAACGCAATAAAGAATTCTACAACAAACACTAGATAAAGCTACGGAATGCTTTTTTGTTATGTTTCTGGGATGGTTTGACCAGCAGAAGGTCTTGCTAGCTTCACCGATGGCAAAATAAGAAAACATTGTTTTGAAAAACATATGGTGACATCCGGGCATGGTGATGTTCTACTTATCTTCCTTTCTTATAATTTAGTGAAATAGTTATTTATTTTATTGGAAGTTATTTTAGCACTGTTTGTAAGAAGGTAAGTTTGAATTAATATGAAAATTATTGTCAAGTTCAGAAAAATAAGTCCTACTTAGTTGGAGTGGTATTTGCATTTGAAAATTTTTAATGCGTGTTAATCTGTAATTGAGAAGTAAGTTCTATACAGATATATAATTGTTTTTTCTCTTTATTCGCCACGCAACAGCTCCATTTAACAGCTGCGTCAAACTGTCTGGCTAGTTTTCAATTATAAAAGCAACAAAGCCATTGTTCTGTATTTCTTTTGCTCTTTCCAATATATATGGTAACTTGTTAAAAAAAATTGAGAGGGAGAGAGAGAAAAAAAGCAAGAGAAAATGAAAACTTAAGAGCGACGGTTTTAATTTGTTTTGTCACCAAGCTAGCTTGACAATGTCCGAAACGTTCTAAATTCATACACCCCTAACATGTGGTCACCATTAATTTATAGTTTATAAATTAAACCAGCGAGCTAGAAGCTCGCAAGTGATAACGATTGGCTGTTGTTTGTAGAGTAACACTTCAGGTTTCTAAATTGAAATTAACATAAAAAGTTACTGATCACCACCTTATCTGCAAAATACACGTATGTACAAATGACTAATGTCTATGCGTTGAGTTCACCAACAAGTAAGCGGAGAAAGAAGAGTAATGCTATGAGTTCGTTGCACTACCAGTTGTTTCTTTTCTTGTGCTTCTATGCTGCTGTTCAGGCTCCATACAGAGAAGGCGATATCATGTTGGGCGGACTTTTCAGCGTGCACCAGCCGCCAGACATGCCAGGGAGCCAATGTGGAGAGATAAATATGAGAGAACTTAGTCAGATGCAGGCCATGATCTTCGCAATCGAACGAATAAACAACGACACAAGTCTTCTTTCTAACATTTCCCTAGGATATGACGTAAGGGATTACTGTGAAAACTTTTCAGAACCTGCAAGACTTGTTTACAAACTTTTGACTGTTGATGCTTGTGTAAATTTAAGCCGAAATGCCTCAAGAAAGAAAGCAATCATTTCTTTAATAGGCCCAAGCGAATCGAGCACTGCGCCATTCATTGCTGGATTTCTTCGGATGCTCAATGTTTCGAGCATAAGTGGAACAGCTACTAGTGCTGAACTTAGCTCCCTTACCTATGACCATTTATTTCGAACAGTGCCTTCGGATACTTTTCTTACAAAAGCGATGGTTGACTTGGTTACGCACTTCAATTGGAGTTATGTTGCTGTCGTTGGACTAGATGATTCGTATGGACGAAATGGAGCATGGGCAGTAGTTAGTGAAAGTACCTCAAGAAGAAGCTCGTTCTGTATTGCTTTGACGGAATTTGTACGCCACGAAAGTCTGAATCTGAGTATTGGGAACATAGTAAGAAAGCTTAAACAGATGGACAATATCAGAGTTGTGATCTTATGGTTATACAAAAATTACCAAACGAAGTTTTTGGCAGAGGTTCAGAGGCAAAACCTAACTGGACGTGTGTGGATTTTGAGCGATGCTCTTCTAACTTCCACACTGCCAATAGAAGGTATTCTCGAGAGCTCTTTGGGATTTCAATTGCACGAATTCAGCGACTTTGGCTTCAAGGAATATTTTAAAGATTTATTGGTGAAGGAGAGAGACAGCAGAAATTTTCCTGAATGGAACTACAGTACAAGCGAAATATGGAAGCTTTTGAGGAGCAAGAAGTGTGTTCGTCGCCAAATTGAGCAGTGTTCTAAAGACTTGATTAAAGAAATCTACAGCCCCTTTGTTCCGAACATCATCGACGCTGTATATGCCGTGGCACACGCACTAGATATTTTTAATCGAAATTTTAGCTATGACGGGACCAAAGATCGGGCAAATCTGCAGATAGCCAGTAGTTTTAACGTGCAGAAGCTTCTTGGCAGAGTCAGTTTTGACGGTCTAACTAGAAAAATTACATTCGATCGATTTGGTGACAAGGGTTCGGCGGTTCAGCTACAAAAAAGTATTCAAAGGAGATGTCGAGAGCGTAAAAATGGTGCTGATAGGAGAATGGAAAAATTCAAAGAGGAACAAAACTCGCTTGATTTTTCATGAAGCCCTGAATTGGACGAGTACATCTGGTCGCACCCCGAAATCTGAATGTTCGGGGCAGTGTCCTCCTGGAACAAGGAAATCTTTTACCTCTCCTTGTTGTTGTCAGTGCCTTCCATGTCTTGGTGGAACTATCAGCCCATCCGCTGGTTCTGAAAGCTGTAGTGAATGCCCTATCGGAACAATGTCCAACCAGGCTAAAACAGAGTGTCACTTTACCCTCCGCTGACATAATTTATGGTAGTGCGAGTGAAATTATAATTCTTACCTTTGCTACGCTCGGTGTTGTTGTTACATTGATTTTCCTGGCAGCCCTCTACAAATTCTGGAATAGTCCCATTGTCAAGGCTTCCAATCGAACTCTTAGCGTTGTTCTTTTAATCGTATTTCTGTTATTATTGTCTTTGGCATTCATTAATGTCTTTATGTCCACGAATGCAATTTGCAAGATCATATACCCGTTACGTTATCTGACCTATAACTTTTGTCTATCCATCTTATTGGTTAAGGTGTTGCTTATTTCCAATGCTTTTCGGGTTCCCATTTGACCAGTTTGGAATTTAATTCTCTTCCAAACAAAGCACAGGTTGGGATTGTTATAGCATCTCTAGCTCCACTGTTGTCGGTGTTGTTTCCATGGTTGCTTTTGGATCCACCCTTTAACATGCGACATATCTATCCAAAGCGTCACACCTTTAACGAATGCAAGGCATACTCCAGCTCGGTTGGAAAATCTCTCTTCTTAGCAACATGTTTTTATATTTTCTTCCAAATGCTTCTGTCGTCGTTCTGTGCCTTTAAGATTAGGAAGATTCCTGAAAATTTCAGCGAGGCCAAACGAATCGCTTTTTCCATGTACATATTTTTGTTCTCATTGCTTTGTTATCACCCAGTAGAATTGTGCTTGGATGGATGGTATGTAACTGTTGTGGACTGTGTAACAAATCTGTTGAGCGTGGATGGCTTCCTTTGTTGTCTCTTTTTGCCCAAAATGTATATTCGGTTCTTTAGGCAGGAGATAAACGATGTGAATGGCATAAGACAAGAAGTCACTCAGTTCTCGTTTAGTTCAAGTTGTGTACACGTAAACCGTGCTTTTGATAAATCTAATTAGGAAGCCGAATCGTACAATAAGCTTTCTTAATATCAATAATCTTGTTCCAGAGTGCCATAGACTTCTTAGTAAATGAAATGTGAATCATTATTGAAGAAAATTTAAGCTTTTAAGTAGGACTGCATTACAAATATAGGCTTAAAGTTGCCATGGATTGTTTCTTTTTAAGTTTTCAGTATGGCTTAGTTATCGGGAATTTTAAATTTGCTTCCCTGATGGCAAAAGGAAGCATTGTTTCAGAAAACAAATGGCTATGTAAGCGCGGAATAATAAACTGACATTTTGCATTTATCATTTGCATTTTTAATCTTCTCTCACGATTGAATATTTCATTTAGCATCTGTGCTTAGATTCGACTTTAAGGCTATTCCTTATTATACCTATTTATGGACTCCTTTCCACATATTAGCCCTGCCCTAACATTAGGCAAAGAGTCCTTTTATATCTTCGTTCATCCGATTCCTTTCAAATTTTGGGACTGAAGGCAGAAAGCATTTATGAGCTGAGGCAGAAGTCTTGTTTCTAAGCAGCAAAACTTATTTCTACAACTTATTTTTCTTGCATGACTAATTAGGAAACACTTTGCCTTCGCAGTGACGTTTCCAAGTTTAGCTAAGCCTTTGGGCGGATGCTTAGATAATTAAATTGCATGAGATGAGAGTGATCTTCGCTGCTATGACCACTAGCTATGTAAGCAGTAACGAAAATATAGTCTGAAAAAAAAGGAAAAAAAAAAGGAAAAAAAAGGAAAAAAAGGGAAGACTTTTGTGCATGATTTGGGAAGTAGAGTTTTCATTGTCTAGGAAGGAGTATCCGGCTCAGTAGAGTTAATTTGGCGAATAACTTTCGGAAAGTTGTCCACAAGACCCTACGGCATATATTTCTCTACACGAAGGAAGATCGCGACATGGTCAAGGATACACATTTGCAACTGACCCAGTTGTCTGGTTTTTAAAGGATAAAACATACGGGTATGGAACATCTGTTTCTTACATTAGAGCTAAGGATTCTGGTTTCTATCCCATATTTATGTGCCAAATGTTTCAGCTTCATGAAAATTAGGTGTTTGTTTTGCAAGTTCAAAAGCAAAACCCCTTATGCTGTTGATGAACCAAATAAGTCCACAGTCTAATAAACCCTCCATAATCAATTGAGCCCAAATGTCTAAACATGAACTCTCTTTGTTGCCCTTCCCTAGAGGAGGATTTTCACGTAGTGCATATTTTCTTGATGTAGGTGGAGGGGCCCGAGACATTATCACAACAGTTTTCTGGTTTTTAAAGGATAAAATTTATAATTGTGGAACATCTTACGCTTACAACATGACTAAGGATTTATGAATAAGATTTTCCAATTAATTGCTTGGTTATCAATCAGTTGCTTATCTTGATAAGATGATGTCGATGACAATGACGATAATTAGTTAAAAGTGATTACAGTTTTTCTGAAGCGATGCACAATAACAAAATAAAACAGGATGCAAATATACGTACGTATTTGCGGAACATAGCTGTTTGGCTTCAAGGTGTAAGCCACTGGACGCAAAAATTGAAAGTGTTTCTTCTTCTTTGATCTATGTTGATTCAATTTTATGAACACAATTTATTTTATTACACAGACATGAAGGGTTACTTGTTTGCTGTGTGTCTGCTGACCATCTGTGTCATTTTGGTGGAGTCAGCTCCGACGAAAAATGATAAGCCTCGTCCACATTTTCACAACAGGCTGTTAGTCCGTGACTGGGTGTCAGCTCCGACGCAAAACGATGAGCCTCAGCCACCTTTCCACAACAGACTGTTACTCCATGAATTGGTATCACCTCCGAGGGAAAATAATAAGCCTGATTTCAAGGAATATCCCGCATGGAAATTTCCTTATTTGAAATGGAACCTCCAAATTAGAACCATCCTTCTATTAATGACCTAATGAAGGCCACAGTCTAACGCTGTATGTTAAGTTTAGTCTCAAAGCAAATCATCGACTCTCCTACACCTCATTCACAGCAAAGCTTAAACATGTTCTAAAGCTGTTTTGTTAAACACGTTTAAAAATTTTATTCTTTATAGTAGCTGTTTAAACCGATGTTTGTCGACTTCAAATTTAGCACATTGAAAATAGAAGTTAGTGACTACTTGAAACGAGTGTAAAACTCAGCTTTTCAGTTCTCTGTTTCTGATTTTCATTCAGTTAAACCCGGTGTATGTAAACATGTTTTGCTGGTGTGGATGGGGTGTTAGTTTCTCTCCTCTAAAACACGATTTGCAGAATCAAAAGTTACATTATTCTGACATCCCCCTACAATGCATGTAATACTGGAGTAAATATTTTTGATGCAGATGGGTAGGAGCGAAACAGATATTTATACCAGCAAAGAGCATTTGCCCTTATATTTTAATTTGGAAAAACCACGTAGGCACAGTTAACCTAATTTAGCCACGGTTATTATATATATTTAGGGAAGAAACACGAAGTGCGGAGTGTCGGGCCAACTGATGGTTATAATAAACCCAATAAATGAATATTTGAATGTACAAGATGAAAAATACAGTGGAGAATTTTTACAGGGGTTGCATAAAACATCTAGATGACTGCGGAGAAACATGCACATCAAGCCAGTGTAGACACTAGACACCTAGTTGTCAAGGAATTTGATATGCATAATCTGCTAATTTGTTGCGTGATTTCCTTTGATTTCACTTATGTTGATGGAAAAATCACTGAACCCAGTCATCCCTAAGATTACTGCGAAATACCAGCATGTTCAGTCAATGTAGACAGACGGGCCAGCGTAAACACTGGATGCGTGGTTGCCTGAGGGTTTGATATGCTTATTCCGCTAATTTGTTGCATTATCCAAGCTCAATACATTCTCTGGTGTTTTCTCCATTAAATATTCTAAAGAAAAATCACTGAACCCAGTCTAAGATTACTGCAAGATACCAGCACGTTTAGCCAATGTGGACAGACGGGTAGTTGCTTAGCTTTCTAGGATGCCTGCTCCACAAATTTGTTGCATAATCCAAGCCCACTATATTCTGTGGTGTTTTTTCTGTTTACTGAAACATGTCAACCCTGAGAAACGATCAGTGCTTTTCTGTTATACAATAGGTAATTTTTAAAGATGTGATTCCGTCAACTGTGTATCTTCTAAACATGTGGGATTCATAATGTTCCTATCGAGTATACACGTCGAATGAGTAGTAAACAACTTAAGCATGGTCGTCTGTTTCTTTAATTAAAGAAACAAGCGATTTTTTAAAATAATTTCAAATTAAGAAGAAGAAAATCACTGAAGATAGCACGTATCTGTTCATTTCGGTTTAACCGGTTCCCTGATAAACTTTGGTCATAAGTCTTCTTTTATCCTTTCAGTGCGATTGTCACGGGCAAATATTAGATATGATAGATAATTTTTAAAGAGGATCTGATTTCATCAACTGTGTATCTTCTAAACAAGTCGGCCTCACAATGTTCCTTTCGAGTAAATACGTCGGATGAGTTATAAACAACTTAAGCATTGTCGTCTGGTTCTCTAAAGAAACAAGCGATTTTTGAAAGTAACTCAAATTAAGAAGAAGAAAATCACCGAAGAAAATCACTGAACCCAGCCACCACTAAGATTACAGTGAAATACCAGCACGTTTAGCCAATGTGGACAAACGGGTAGTTACCTAGCTTTCTAAGATGCCTTTTCTGCAAATTTGCTGCATAATCCAAGCTCACTATATTCTGTGGTGTTTCCTCCCTTAAATATCCTAAAAAAATTACTGAAACCAGTCAACCCTGAGAAACGATCAGTGCTGCTCCGGTTATAGATCCCAATTTAGCACATATCTGATCATTTCGGTTTCCCCAATAAACTTTGGCCGTCAGACATCTTTTATCCTTT